TCAAAGGTCATTGCCAGGACTTTAGTATTTACTTAGAGATAAGAAGTCACTAGAAGGATTTGAGAAGGCAAGATTTAGGTCTTTATTGGAGTGCAGTAGTTGTGTTTTAATTTAAACTACTCTGTAAAGAGAAGGGATAAACTTGCTTTTCTAAATCAGCTGTGTTTATGGCTTTGAAAGAAGGAAAAGAGAACAACAAACCCCAGAAAACATAAATAAATGCATTTTGTTTGGGAACAAAACAATGAGAGTGAATCATAGAGTCATAGAATCACAGTTATGTCCAGAGTACTCAGGAAATGGCTTGGCCCCTAATTAATTATTCTATGTTGTTAAACTCTGTGGAGATAAATTTAGCTGACAGTAGGTGGAATGAGATGGGTTCTCATGAAAACATGTTTTCAACGATGTTGGCAAAGAATACTCTGAAAACTCAAAACAACTGAAACTGTGTCCTAAGGGTGAAGATTGATGAGCTAGATCCCTAGCGATGACCACTTGGGTTTTCTTCAGACCCTGCAGCCCAGAGACAAAGATGTTAGCTTTGATTTAGCAGAATGGGTGAGGAGAGCAAGGTGAATGAGGCAAGGAGATGGTCCTGAAAAGTGCAGATGCACTGGGCTTCTATCCTTTTATGGAGATCCTAGGAGCTGACTTAGATGCAATTTAGGCATATTTGCTGTTAAGGCTGAAGCTTAACTTAGTTAATTTAAGTTACCAATAAAGGGAAATTGATTTGTGAGTATTAGCCTCCTGGTCTGTATTTATTTCATTCATTTAGTGGACCAGAAGTAAAATTACTATTTTAGTGGCCGATACTACAATTCTTCTGAAAAGAAAAAAAGTATATTGTTATCTATTTAAACTCTGATGGGCCATTTTCATGCTAAGAGGATAGGATAAAGGGTTAGTAATGTTTTGCATACTAAAGTGAGAAGAGTTTCTACTTTGCATTAGAATTATGAAAGGGGACTGCTGGGGAAGGATACCCTAGTGGAACAGAACTGGGCTGGGGGTAGAAATCCTGGCCCCAACAGCCATGATCTGAGGCTACAACAGTGCAGAGAGATGTTCCTTTGGGAATGATGGCCTAAGGACTTTTGAGAACAAGTGTGCTTAGTAATAATGTTGTTTGTGGGGCAATGGTGATATCCCTACCAATTTCAGTCAGCCTTCTCGCCACTGTGACCAAAAGACTTGACAAGAACAATTAGAGGAGGGAAAGCTTATTTTGAGGCACACAGTTTCAAGGGGTCTTAGTCCATAGATAGCCAACTCCATTGCTCTGAGCCCAAGGCAAGATAGAACATCATGGCAGAAGAGTGAGGTGGAGGAAACTGGCTCAGGACATTGCACCAGGAAGAAGAGAGAACCTAAGCTCAGCTCACAAAATATATACCTCACAGTCATGCTCCCAGGGACCAGTCTCCTCTAGCCATGCCCCATGTGCCTATAGTTACTGCTCAGTTAATCCCTGTCAGGGAATTAATGCATAGAACAGGTTAAGACTCTCATAATCCAATCATTTTACCTCTAAACTTTCTTGCAGTGTACAACAGTCATCTTTTGGGGGACACTTTATATATAATCCATAACACCACCTTTTCCCCATTGCCTTTCCTTCTCTTGTCCCAGACTTTCACTAGAAGCCTGGATTATATACTGTTGCTTACTCTGTTGTTCTGTGATATAGAGAAGGTGGTAGGATTGCATGTAAAGAGACTGGTTACATGTTGTGGGTAATGCGGGGTAAGAGAGAAGAGAAAAGCTTTGGTGGCATCAAGATGGACCATTAAGAGATGAGTGAAAGAGTAAACCACCCCCAAATCCTCAGAAGTGTTTATTGGGAAGGACTTTGAGACTCAAGCCAGATACACACACACACACACACACACACACACACACACACACACACACACATACATCTTGGTAGACTTTGGAACACTGAGGTAGGTATCCTTGGGTTATATGGGTATATTATTAGCCAACACTTTGCTACTTTTAAGAATTTGTGACTGTCATGAATTATTAAATTATTATGTATAAAAATATTGCTTAAGAATTTAACAAAATTCACAGCAGCACTATTTGTAAAAGCTCAAACCTGAGTGCAACTTCTCAGCAGTATAACTGATAAATAGATGGTAGAATTTTTGTGTCATAGAATACTACCCAGCAATAAGAACGAACCAACTACAAACATATGCAAGGGGTGAACAAAGAAAATCACAAAGTTAAAGTAGAAGTAAAGACAGTTTTATTTGGGTGCAAAACAGATTTGCAAGTCAGGAAAATACAGGTTCAACCAGAGTCTGAGCCCTTTTTCAGGGATGATGCACCTGGTCTATTATGGCAGTGAGGAGTGGGTCTACAAAACAGCGTTCTTTGAGAGAGATAAGCAGAGTTGAGGCAAGTTTGACAGATGAAAACTGAAATAAATCAGAATGATTATTAATTTTGTAAGTCAACTGGAATGTCCAGGTCAGGAGGCAAACAGGCCACTCAGGTATTTCTCAAACCTTGAAAGGTATTGTTAGATTTGAGAACTTTGTATCTTCTAGGAGATTCAGTTCCCCAGGTGATATGTACATGGCACTCTTTCCCCTGGCCATTTTAACTTTTAAAGTTCTGAATCTCACAAACATAATGTGACATGGAAGAAATCAGATCCAAATGAGTAAGTATTACATGATTTTTACATATATATATATATATATATGTAAATATATAGGCAAAACTAATCCATTCTGTTAGAAGTCAGAAAAAGCATATTCTCAGGGCCACTGTAATAGTAGGAGAATATGAAAGGGGCTATAGGAATGCTGAAATGTTCTGTTTCTTGATCTAGTGCTGGTTACATAGCAGTTTGTGAAAGTTATATTAAGTTGTACACTTACAGTATGGATGCCTTTCTCTCTGTATATATGACGTACCTCAACAAAAAATAACAAAAAACCTACTTTGTTTTTTAATCACATAATTATGCCTACAGAAGCTTTAAAAACTTGCAGACATGAGATTCTACTCAATTCAGCACACATTGTGGAGAATTACCATAAGAGACAGCACACAGGATCCATATACAGAAGTCTGTGATGTAGTAATTCTGAATCACTGACCCATGGAGGGGAGGCATCAGCCCTGATCTTGAGGACATTGTAAGTCAGGGACAGACATGCACAAATCAATGGCAGAAGGATTCTGGCCATATTCCTGATTATGCTAACTCTGACCACTTGTTCAAACATTGTATTACGAGTTATAAATGGGTCTGGGGTTGTGGCTCAGTGGTATAGTCCTTGCCTGGCATTCGTGAGGCACTGGGTTCACACATCAGCACCGCATATAAACAAACAAACAAATAAATAAATAAAAATAAAGGTATTGTGTCCATTTTAATTAAAAATACTATATTTTTAAAAAAGAGTTATAAATGGTAGCAAGACTGAAAAGGAATAAACAAATTGTTACTTGCAATCTACATCCTTATTTACTTAGAAACTCCAAGAGACTATAAACTATTAGAAATACTACAATCTGAGAATCAAGATGGCAGACTAGAGGAAGGCTGCATTTCTTATCACTACGTGACCTGGGATTCAAGCAGTAGGGAATATTGCTTTTCTCTCTGTGAGGTGGGTGAAAGAGCGATTGAACTAAAATTCAATATTGGACAGTCAGTGTCTTAAAGATTCAGAAATTTGTGTACACTAAACAAAGAAAAAAAGAGTACATTGGAACCAAGCTGGTCAGTAGCAGTAGCGGTACTGGTTCAGCATAGAGGAAGAGAGAACGGCAGAGAGACACAACAGACAGGTTTAGTATATAAGACCTCAAGATCAGAAAAGCAACCTGCCTTTAGCTGATCTGGAGGTTGTACCCTAGGCTGGCATATGAAAAGTGCACTGTGTTTCCCAATTGGCCACAGAGAGCTAAGGCGGGAGCCATCTTGAGACAGCCATACTGCAGTTGCTGCTGTGGGAGCTGGGAGATCTGACCAAAACAGCTACATGGTCCTGACAAATGCCTGCCCATGACCTAGGCTGTGCCTGGTAGAATGAGAGTGAAAGAGGCACAGAGGATATTTTATCCGTGGGGATTCAAGTTGGAAAAGCCAGTTGGGCTTCCCACTTTTGAGTCTGACTGCTCATAAGACCAACTTAAGTGGGTAGGGAATTTGGACAGGTAGGTGTGAGTACACTCGGGGACTAAGCCTGGGAAGCCAGGAAAGACTGTGTTCATGGGCAGCAGAGGGGGTGAAAGATTGGCTGGTTGCCCTGCCTCCAATGAGTAGAATCCTAGGGAGACTCCTGAGATCCAGACTCAGAGTAGGGAGTGGCAACTGCCAGTCCCCAAGGGTGTGTTGATTTAATCTCTCCAGAGCTGTCACCATCCAACAAAGCCCCTGAGGCCTGATTAGACCTAAGGCCCCCTGGGGGTGCTCCACTCCTAGAACTCTGTAGTGGCCCCACCCTGGGAGTGCATGGCCCTGGTCTATACAGACAAAACTGAGTACTTCCCATCCCATCCAGCCTCACACTGGTGAGAAGGGATGTATTGGCACCCCCTTTCTCCACAGAAAAATCTTAACTGGGCTTCTCCAGAAATCTTCACCATGGTGCTGATTTTAGAACTGTCAACAAAAGAGTGTCTACAAAAGAGTTCAATGTAGATAAACTTCCAATTTTCGTGTTGCCCTGTTTTACTTGGCCACTGGCCAGCAAGAAATCAGCACTTCAGGGTGCTGGACACCCCCTTACTAGTTTCTCACAAACATATTCAGTATGTTTCTCACAAACATATTCAGTTTGTAGAAATGTGTAAACAAGGCCTCGGCCTTGAGCTGGACTTCACAGAGATATCTACATTTCTAAGAGAAGTTACCAATTGGGCTCCATGGTAACAGCTGGCAGGGGGAGGAAAGAAAGGGGAGAAGAAGCTCTCCCCTTCTCAGATGTTGTCCTTGAAGGGTTAACTTGCCCAGAACAGTGAAAGAAAAAGCTGCTTTTATGTGAACTTCTGCAGACTGTGAACTTCTGAGCCCCTCCCCTTAAATGCTGGTATAAAATTCCGAAACTACCTGAACTCGGGGTTCAGGGGATTGATTGATTACAACAAAAGCTGTGCTCTCTGAACTGCAGCCAAATAAAACTGTTTCCTGCTATTTTCAGGGCTTTGCCTTGTCTGTCCCTACAACATTTTGGAGACCCAGATGGGACAGAGGAGGTAAGAATGGCTGTTCTGCCTCTCTTGTCTCCGGCTTCCCGGGAGCAGTGGGGGACAGTGTTTCCCCTTAGCACTCACAGGCAAATCTTGGTCTGAAGGAGAGGCCACTCACCCCGCGCCCTGGAGCTGCCAACCCGGAGCACAATGGAACCCACAAGGAGCAGGAACCAGAATTAGGGTTTCGGAGCACCGCCCATCTGAACAGGTAGGACCTGGGTCCATTTGTTTTTGCAGCCCACCTTACTTCCCCTTCGAGGCCTAAGCAGGTAGAAGGGAAACTTGATCAACCTTTGTTGGGTCCCGAGTACCCTCCAAAGTGGTTGGAACTGAAACGGACCCGAGGAGTCGCCCGAGTAGTCGCTGTTCGGGGTCAGTGAGCGGAGGCAAACTGTTACTCCCCTTTTGTTTGGTTTGGAATTGTTGGAATTTGGGCAGTAGAAATTTTGTTTTGACCATGTCTGTGTGAAAGTGTGTGAAAGTATGAGAATGAGACCAACTAAGAGAAGGATTTCGATCCAACCCAAGGGCCAAAGTGAGTGCAGAGTCCCGATCCATGGTTGCGATCCACCGTTCAGATCCACAGTTCCAATCCACGCTTCCAATCCACGGTTCCCATCCACGGTTCCGATCCACGGTTCCGATCCACAGTTCCAATCCACGATTCCCATCCACGATTCTGATCCACGGTTCCGATCCACGGTTCCGATCCACGGTTCCGTGGCACCTCATACGGTCTACAGTGGAATTTCACCAACCAACATCAAGATGAAAGCTCCAGGTCCAGGTTTGATAAGAGGGCCCTAAGTCCCCGCGAGGGGAACTGAACCAATCCTTATATTGATTGCTGGCAAGAGATAGTACAGAAACAGCCCTCTTGGTTGAAAGCCTATCTAAGTGGACATCACAAGCTGATGTTAGCTGGGAGCATAGCGGTCTCTAAGACCCAGCGGAAAGCAGCTAGACAGAGAACCTGACAGAGAAAAGATCTGAAGGGAAACAGTTTTCCCCAGGAGCCGGAAAAGGATCCACCACTTTATGTGCCACTCTACCCAACTTTGCCAAGACCACTGTCCCCTCAGCCCCCTCGTCCTCAGAGGCAACAAATGATGGCCCCCAATACTGGCTATTCCTTCCTCTGTGATGTCCTCAGAGCCAATGGTTTCCTAGAACCAGAGACTCTTTCACCTCCCAAGATTAAAGTGGGAGAATTGTCCCAAGACCCAGAGCCACAATCCAGATGAGAGCTCTCCAGATGCCCCTACAAGGGACTAAAGGACATGCTCTTGTTGACCACAAAGAAAACATCCGAGGGAGACAAGGCAGTTTTGTGTACTAGCCTTGCACCACCATTGCACTCATAAGCTGGAAAAATCATACTCCCTCCTACACGGAGAAGCCCTGGGCCATGACTGTCTGATGCAGCCCGTTATCCAGATCCGATCCAAGGTTCCGTGGCACCTCATACGGTCTATGGTGGAATTTCACAGTAGGATGGGGTCCTAATGAAGAAGAAAATATAAAGAGATGTCAAGAAGCCCTCGTAGGAAGTCTAAGAGAAAAGGAAAAAGAGAACAAAACAAAACAAAAAAGAGAAGAAATCAGAGCCAGCCCTGAGCCCTAGCCTAAGGTGAGTGCATCTGCAGACAAACAGAGCCCAAATAAGCCTCCCGCTGCTCCAGCATCTCCTTCTCGCACACACCCTTGCACCCTCAATATCTCTGAACATTTCTCTCAGCCCCATATCTGCCTCAGTCCCTTTGCCCTATGAAACTGGCAGCAAAGATCAAAAGAGATGTGCCAAACTGATTCAGAGCCAAGTGTCTGGGCCACCGCTGCTGCCACCCCTCTCCCTGCCCAGAGGTGACACACGGAGGAGGGATACCATACAAGCATAGCAGCTGTCAGAAAAGAGATGCAGAGGCTCAAACCACAGGTGATCAGTGCAGCCTTTGTGGGACAGGTTCAGAGTAACATTTGCCAAAAATTACAAAAACTAGAGGGCTTTACTGAGAAGTGTGTCAATGAACTGATTAACCACAGTTTTTATCATTTGAGACCCAGAGGCTCAAAGACAGGCAGGCCAAAAAGATAAAAACGAGAATGGATCTCCTTACAGCTGCCCTCACCACAAACCTAGCGGCCACTCAAAGGTTGGGGGTGGTGGTGGTCTCACTAGAACAAAGTCAATGGTCCAAATGTTTATAGGGGGGAAAAACGTGGCCAGACACAAAGGGAAGCCTCCAGTGGCCTCGGCAGGCAAATACCCACAGCCATGCTCAAAAGCAAGACTTGAACAAAGAAGGACCAAATGTTTCCCCCCAGCCTTTGGCTCCAGCCCCTCTTTTCAGTTTCTTTCCACTTGCTCAAAGTTGATTATTGACAAAAATGGCAGGGGTTCGATAGACACACTCAGCTTTATCTGATCCATGGGACCCAGGACCTCAGGAGGGGCTCAGTTGCTGCAAGCCCAAGAACACACTGGGAATAAGTTCATGTTAACAGCCAATAGTGGGCCTTTGGGAGCACACTCCAAAAAGACATGCCACCTCGGCTCCAAGCCACATGCTTTGAGCCACCAGCAGGAAGGGCCACAGAGCCCCAAGCACACAGGCATAGTGAAAAAAAACACAAGTGGGGACAGCTGCTATATACAATTAGAGCAGGCTCCCACCTGACAAGAGGAGAAAGCCACGCAGACAAAGAGGAACACCTAGGTGGGCACAACGTGGCTGCCACACCGGGACCTGTAGGAAACCTGCACAGGACCTGCACGGGACCTGCCCTTCAACCCCTGCAGACAGCCCACAGTGAGATTTACAAAGGTGCCTTTAATACAAATGATGTCCCAGGTCATCAATCTCTGCTAAGATTTACATTAGATTTAAGAGTTGAAGAATCCCAACAGCCAAGATCCTGCATTGGGAAATAACAATAAAAATTTCTGCATCTTGGGCTCGGGATGTGGCTCAAGCGGTAGCGCGCTCGCCTGGCATGCATACGGCCTGGGTTCGATCCTCAGCACCACATACAAACAAAGATGTTGTGTCCGCCAAATACTAAAAAATAAGTATTAAAATTCTCTCTCTCTCCCTCTCTCTCACTCTCTCTTTAAAAAATAAAAATTAAAATTAAAATAAAAAAAAAATTCCTGCATCTTAAAGCGCCAGAGGCTCTGTGAATGCTTCTCTTCCCTAAATGACAGCTCCTCCTAGGGGCTTGAGTACACCATCTTTGGGATGGCTCTGGACTCTGACTTAAAAGCCCACATCTATCACGAAAAAGTCAAATACTTTGGTTACCATCTGACTCAGCAACAGAACAGACAACAGCAACTGAGCCTCAAAAGAAACAGGAGATCTGCTCAATTTCAGTCCCTTCAATCTGCCATCAGACTAGAGAATTCTTGGGGGTTGCTGGATTTAGTCATATACGGATCCCCAACTTTCAGTTATGGTAATACCCCTCTATAAAGCCACAAAGGGGGGAGAATGGGATCCTCTAATATGGAGGCCAACTAAGCAAAAGGCCTTTGAGGACATTAAACAGGCACTCCCAGGGTACCTGGACTAGGGCTCCCTGACCTTAGGGAAAACTTTACAGGTTCACAAAGCTTTTCTTTCTGTACACCCCACAGACAGTCTGGAGTGACTGTAGTAGTCTTGGCTCAGGGACATGGACATCTATCCAAACAGCTGGGCTCTGTAGCCCAAGGCTGGTCACCTTGTTTCAGGCCCTTGCCAGCCACAGATCTTCTGATGTTGAAAGCTGATAAACTGGCTATGGGACAAAAATTGTTTTTCAGGGTTCCTCATTCAGTTTTGACATTGTTAGAGCACAAAGTGCAATATTGATTGACTAATGAGAGATTGGTCAATACCAGGACATGTTATGTGAAAACCCCCATATCCGTGTGGAAGTCATCCAGACTTTAAGCCCAGTAACTTTGCTGCCCATTGGACCTGGAAAACCTGATCACAAATGTATTGAAATCATGGATGAAGTATTCTCCAGTACCAGACCTGACAGACCAGCCCCTCAGGGACCCTTATGTGGAGTACTTCACAGATGGAAGCAGTTTTATAAAAGATGGGGTATGTTTTGCTGGACATGGAGTAGTCACTCTGGACTCCGCTGTTGAGGTAGAACCTCTGTCTCAGGGAACTTCAACACAAAAAGCAAAACTTATTGCTTTGACTCGAGCACCTCGGTACATAGCAGGAGCCTATGTGAATATTTACACAGACTCAAAATGTGCATTCACTACCCTTCATGCTTATGTAAGAAAAAGGGGCTAATTAACTCTGAAGAAAAAGCATAATGTACGGGCAAGAAATTCTTAAACTTTCATATGCAGTGTGGGCTCTCAGAAAGATTGCGATTATACATTGCCAAGGTCATCAAAAGGGAAACACTGGTTGCTCAGGGCAACCGGAGAGCTGACAGAGAGGCCTGGTTAGCTGCCTACAAGAAATAGGAAGAAAATCCAGTCCCAGGTTTAAATGCTGCCCTGGCTGACCATCTAACAGAATGGGAGCCAACATATTCCCAATATGAAAGTAAGTGGTTTAAGACTGAAAAAGAACATTTTCTCCCAGGTGGATGGTGGAGATTTTCTGATGGCCACAGAGCTATCCTGGAGATTCTAGCCCCACTGTCTTTATCAGACAGTTCCACAGGAGAACACATGTTGGACATATAGCACTTGAGACAGTTCTGAGTCAACATTTCTATGTCTCCTGGCTCTCAAGCATCACCTGGATGATCTTAAACAATGTGAGGTTTGTGCTCACAACAATCCTTGTTAGGGGGCTAAAGCTTCCACCAGGAATCCAAACTGTAGGAGGAGCACCTTTTGAAGACTTGGAAGTAGACTTCTCTGAACTACCATGCTCATGGGGCTATAAATAACTTATTATTAACAAATTATTCCCAGATTTGGTATCCCAATAACTATTGGCTCAGACAATGGGCCAGCTTTTGGGCAGAAGTGATACAATTACTAAAGAAGAGTTTAAATATCAGATGGGAGTTACATACTGCCTATAGGCTGCAGAGTTCTGATAAAGTTGAAAGGATGAACAGGACTTTAAGGCTCAATTGGGTAAGGTGTGTCAGGGGACTTACATTGTGATGAACTTCTCCCTATTACACTGTTGAGGATTAGATCCATTCCCATTTGGAGGACTGAACTCTCTCCTTATGAGA